CAGCAGCAGGACCTCGAGGCGCATCGCGCAAATATCGTATGCGGTGTATGGCTCCACGCCTTCATCTGGTATCGCAGGCTCGCTGAGCATATGCGTGAGGCGGTCCACAATCCACTTTTGCACGTCTAATTGGTCCTGGTCAGAAGTCCTGATCGGACCGAAGGAGTCTGCACGAATACTCGTTGACAGGAGGTTCATCAAAAGCACAATATCCCCCAGTGGGTGTGAGGGGTGCAACATCACGAGAATGAAAGAGATCCGGATGTTTTGCCAGAATGTTTCCATTGCACTTTTGATGTGCAATACTCCACAGGCAATTTGGTAAAGTAGACGCATGGCCCCAGTCGAGTCGACTAGGGGCTGCAGATCTGACTGTGGTGTCTGTCGAGTCATCCGTTTATCTCGTGATGCTGGGGCATACTTGAAGCGAGGAACTGCATTCACTTCCACGGTGTCTTGTAAGACTCCAACTAGAGGTGTGATCAGTTCGGAGAGTGGGACGTCATCCGACATCAAAGTATATTTTGTGATAGCTTCGAATCGGGGAATCGGCTCGTAGAACTTCTCGTTGATGGCGCGCTGCCACAGCGAAGCGATCGTTTGTGTATATTCTAAGACGTATCTGCTCGGGTTGGCACGAGCCATGACCTCCATAACGATGCTAGACATAGGTCGATCTGGTTCCGAGGGAAACGCGAGATTGGCCATGGCTTCCAGATCTGTTTCTTGGTTGGGATGTATACGGTGGCTCAAAAGTCGCATCATAAATCGCTGATTGCGACCCGCCTCTGCAGATTTACGCTTCATCTCCTCGACTTCGGCCGGAGTATCAGTCGCATCCGTCATAATAAGCTCCACACCAGCGGGATTCAGCTGTAGTGGCGCAGGACCATCCTGGCTTGACTGTCGTTTGCGCTTTCCTGAAACTGTCGGCGTGGCTCGCTTGGAGCGCGCCGCAGACTTGCTGGGCGATATCATGGCTATTTCATCATCGTCAAATCCATCGCGGAAGGGAAGCACCCGGGACTTGCGAGGAGTCACTGGGGCTTGCGTCTCGCGAGGCTTGGATTTGTAGTTCCGAAGCTGGTAGGCTTCATCCACAAGGTCTTGTTGAAGAAATACATTCTCTGTCGCCAGTACCTTGCCTTCGGACACGGCTGCCTCGATCTCTTGCTTGTGTTTCGTCATTTCGTCCGCCATAGATTTTCTTAGAGCCGCTAATTGCCGGTCATATTCTTGTGTCATCGTTGTCTGCTTCCTTCGAATGATCGAGATTTCCCCGGCTTTCGTTTCCACTTGCATCCTCGCGTCGGCTAGCTCTTGTAACAATTTTTCTCTTTCTTGTTCCATCTATACAAGGTTGTTAGAATTTATGCAAAGAAGCTCTCAACTAACTAACCTGCGCCAGGCGTGCATTGCTCTCAGCGGTGATGTTCCCTTGCCCATAGTGCTCGTCCACATCCATGGGATCGCCCAGCTGCTCATTGACTGCAAAGCTAGGATCTGTGGCGAGCACTTGTTGACCATGCGGAATGACATGCCGGTTATCAACATTATCGTACACCTCGGCCTCCAATTCCCCCACCTCTAGTGTATTGTAGTCGTTCGTCAATCCGGTGTGTAGGCGGGGCGGCGGTCTCAGGGATCCAGCATTGTTGTTTAATGGCACTGCTTGAGCGCCGAGCACGGAGTTGCTATTTATGGGATTTGAGCGGTACTGTGAGGCTGACGCCTGGGTTGCTTGGAACGCATTTCGTTCCAGCTCATACAACGTCCCTGGTGGCAGGGAGTCAAACTCATCGGAGCCGTAGTCGTCGTCGTCGTCTTCCATGCCCCCGCCATGAATGGACTACCAGAGGGAGTTGACAGGTTCTAAGTTTCACAGATGGATCTTGATCATTCTCGATTTTGAGTGGTTCCGAGGTTGAAGAAAAGAGAGAGAGAGAGAGAGAGAGAGCACGGCAATTCAAGGCACCTGGACAACAACCCTGCACATCAAAACTTCAATTTCTAATCACAAACATAATATTTGAAATTCAAATGAAAATCAATTTAATAAAACTGAGTAATATATCAAGGACAAATGAAAGGAAAAAAAAAAAAAAAGTAAAAAAGTAAACACGGGGCTGAAGAAGCTGACCGCTTTCGGCGCGGCACTTCACATGAGCTCATCAACCTCTAATCCCCGATGATCTTCTCTCTCTGCACACTCCACTTCTGCCCAGATTCTCTTTCTGGCCCCCTTTTCCTCCATCATGTCGAAATCTCGCCGTAATGTTAGGTTTCAACACCGGTCAAATGATGAGCGACGCCTCAGTGTGTCCTCCGACGTCAGCGATGTACCCTCAGAGCCCAATAGCCCCAGCAAAAATGGCAATGGGTCCAAACCATCTACAATAGCTGAAGAGGTCAGTTTTCAGTGGAGTATGGCCTCAGAATCTAGGTCTGACACGATTTTACAATTCTAGAAACCTCCCCAGTCCGAATATGAGAAGAAGAAGCAGACCTTCATTACCCGGACGATATGGACTTTTGTGATGATTGCCGGTTTCTTCGTTGCCTTGTTCTCCGGCCACATTTATATTATTGCCCTAATTACTGGCATCCAAATCATCTCGTTTAAGGAAGTCATCGCTATCGCCAGTATCCCCAATAAGGAGAAGAACTTGCGGTTCACTAAATCGTTGAATTGGTACTTCCTGGCGACTACTATGTATTTCCTCTATGGGGAGAGCGTCATCTACTACTTTAAGCACATCCTGCTTGTTGACAAAGTGCTGCTTCCGTTGGCGAACCACCACCGCTTCCTCAGCTTCACACTTTACGTGATGGGTAAGTGTCTCGACTGCTCCCCTTTTACTTTGCTAATCCCGGTTGATAGGATTCGTGTTCTTCGTCGGATCTCTGCAGAAGGGACACTACCGATTCCAGTTCACTCAGTTTGCTTGGACCCATATGGCTTTGTATTTGATTGTTGTCCAAGCTCATTTTGTTATGAACAACATTTTCGAGGGCATGATCTGGTTCTTCCTCCCCGCTGCGTTGGTCATCACCAATGACATCTTCGCCTATGTCTGCGGTATTAGCTTTGGAAAGACACAACTTATTCAGCTCTCCCCGAAGAAGACTGTCGAGGGATTCCTTGGTGCATGGATCTGCACCGTTGGCTTCGGCTATTTCATGACCAACTTGTTGATACGCTACAAGTACTTCATCTGTCCTGTCAATGACCTGGGCTCGAATGTTTTGACTGGTCTAGAATGTGATCCAAACCCAGTCTTCACATCGCAACCTTACTCTCTTGAGATCTTTGGTGTGGACAAGACCTTCTGGGTAGAACCCATTCAGTTCCACATCTTGGCCTTCGCCACTTTCGCTTCGCTGATCGCTCCGTTCGGTGGATTCTTTGCTTCCGGCCTGAAACGCACCTTCAAGATCAAGGACTTTGGCGAGTCCATTCCTGGCCACGGAGGTATCACTGACCGCATGGACTGCCAGTTCATCATGGGATTCTTCTCTTTCATGTACTACCACAGCTTCATTGCTGTCTACAAGGCCAGCGTGGGTGATATCATCGAGATCGCCATCAATGGTCTTACAGTTGACGAGCAGCTCGAGGTCGTTCGTGGCTTGGGCAAGTACTTGTACAACCAGGGCGCCGTCTCAGAATCGGTATGTTTCCTTGAACCAATTGCCGTCATATTACTAACCTTCTCCTAGATTCTGGATTGTCTTCTCACTGAGCTCAAGCGTCGATGAACTTAAAATTGTCCGGCATTCAGACTGAAAAACACCAAATTTATGACACTCATCTTTCACTTTCATTTCCACCATTCGAGGACGACCTTTCAACCCCGCGCTTCACCCTTTGCAACTCTCCTCCGATTGCTTCTTGCTTCATTCGAGACTTGATTTGGGTTCCTCGAATATGCATGCAAGCCTTAATGTGTGCATACATGATATGTACATACATGCACCCCGCTCGCCTTACCCGCCTTTCAACAGGGCATCAACACCCAACAAAATGACCCGTGGCAAGGGCTCTAATGAACCGGTATGAAGGCCATCTTCTACGCCGAAGGCACGGGGTCAACTTTTCTTTCTCTTCATTTACGGCTGTTTCCCTGTACCTTTGTTCCCTACTTTTTTCTCTTCTCTTCCCTTTCTGATTGATGCCGGGCCCTGGACTGAGCCTAAATTTGATGACTTCTTGCTCGGTCGATCCTGACCTGGAGCTCTACTATACTCCCGTTGCGTGAAACAGACACATCCCTCTACAGAAGTGGTAGAAGAAGGGGGATGGTGGGAGGCATGTCTGTGTTTTGCTCTGGTGGTCTGATCTCTAGCTTCGCTGTTTTTAGACCGCGCGAAGGGACCAGGCTGTAGATTTGTACATAGCTTTCAATTCAAAATTTGAAGCTGATTTATGGTTTTTTTTCCTTCCACATACTGTTCTGTATGTAAGAATGGGTCCGTAGTTACAGCAATCACGGTGTCCTACAATGAGAAACTAGTTATCGATAGTTTATTTTTTGCATTGTATCTATCGATATCTCGTCACTGGTCGTAGATGCCTGGGGTATCAGAAAATCATGGGAAATATAGAGCAAGATGGGTAATTCTAGAATGGAAGTCGTGTCCGAGACAACTCAATTCCGAAAACCGCGGAGCAAGAAACCGCGTGTTTCTCTCATCTGCCCAGAAATGTGTGGGCAAAGGCCTCTTATTGCAGCCTAGCAAGAATATTGGCGTATCCCAACAAGAATCAGGACGAAGGGCCGATAATGAATCGGCATGACCGGAGCATTCTTCGGCTGAAAGCAAGATGGGACATAGTATATAAGGGGGTGTCCATGCCAACCCAATATCGAAACCCGCTATCGTATTATCGGTTCGCCGAAACAAGTAGAGCCTTCTCTTGGCTGCGCGTCGCCGCATGAGACATGCCAGACGGTGATTGAAACACGGGTACTAGGGTCGCAAATAGCAAGAACGATCGCTTACCCGTCGACTTCATATTCTTCCATTTCGACCTTGAAATACGCCGCGACCTGACGCCTCTCCTCATCCGCACATGCGGGATCGAGCATGAATCGCACTGCAGCGTCGCGGCCTCGCTCGCCTGTCCTATGGCGGTCCCCGTTCGCTGCAATTGGTGTCAAGGGATGAGCAGGTCGTGGAGCACCTTGGTCATTAGTGCCACTGCCATTGGATTGTTTACGTGGGTGACCGATCCATGGATGGTAGCGTGGAATGTTGTGCTCGCTGGCTTCTTGGTTGAGCGGGATCCGGACTGTTAGGAACCGGTCTGCTGGGAATTCCGAGCCGACGGTGGTTTGTGAGCGATGATGGGTGTAAAGTTCTAAGAGGTCAAAGAGGGTTTCTAGATGGCTGTTAATATGTGGTATTCTCTAGGTGAATACACATGCAACAATACTTACCCATTATTTCTGCTCGGCTGGTGCTCCACTGCGCATAGTCTACCCCGGACTCCACTTGTTCGACGCGCTGGTCCAAGAGTCGTCCTGCAAGCTCAAGGCAGCTAAATGCCATCGTTGATGAGCTTTGTTTGATGGGTGCAAATGTACGGTAAAGATCGGATGAAATTCGGTAGGCAAGATTGGAGACTTCGGAGCCTTTTAGTAGTCCATAATGCCGACCCAGCTTCATGAGGGTCTTTTGGGGATGCCGAGTTCGAAAGTCAAAGCCAGAGGCCTCTAACATGAGTCGTTCGAGACCGATGATGCCACGCGCACTGGATTCAAACATCTGGTGACAAAAGTTAATCCTCTGTCTTGTCTCATCTGGCATCATGACTTACTGGATCATCAGCAGATAGGTGCTCTGATGGCGATAATTTCAAGTTGTACGCTGCGCAGACGATGTCTCGCGATTTTTTGAGCGTATCTTCGATCTTGCATGCTGTGAATAGAGCCGCAGCTGCAGCATCCTGTATATCGGGTTAAGCTGGTCCCCTTGAGGGCGATTTCCGAGAGAACTCACATTGAAATTATACTCATTGTCTGGGTGCACCAATCGAAACCGGTGATAATATCCCACTGCCGTGTCAAAAGTGCGAATGGGACTGGGTTCCCAATTAGAAGTGCCGATATATTTTGCCTGGGTTAAACTTACAGGTTGAGGGCTCTCCGCACGCTGTCGATCCATGCTACGCCCTGAAGACGTAATGAAGTTTCGCGAAGAGGGTTGACACCCATTGCCTCGATGCAGTTTTCGACTGTCTGTTCGAATATGTATGGGTTGGCCACCTGTATAAAAGATGGGTGGATGGCCGGGGCTGACAGGCCGGGTTCCATCGTTGAGCTCCCACGGGGGGACTCGTTTCTCATATTGCGCGCCATGGCGGTTTGTTATATTTCCGTGGAATATGGCAATATCAAGCAATGTCTTTGGAAGCTGGAAGATGAAGACGCAGTGACTGGATTGATATATCGATCACGTGTCAGTCCAAGAGCTATCAATCACGTGAGTCGGAAATATATTCATCCATTCAAGTATATAAGTGTGCCTTTGATCTTATCTCATTTCCTTAGGTATTCGTAATTGAACAGTGTCGCTAGCTAGATACTGCTTGAAAATGAAGAGGACACGACAAAAGAAATAGTGAGTCTTGTTATAAGGCCCTAGTCTTCCCCATACTTCCTGATCAACTTATGCATAATCGACATAGCACCAGAGCGATATCCTCCACCAAAAATAGCGTGATGGTTCAGATGATGATATCTTTTGATATATAATTAGTAAAATCGATCAACAGTAAAGGAAGGAGAAAAAAAAACTTACAATTCATACAATTCCACCCGATCAGCATACTCCGCCACAGGCTCAGTCTTCGGCACAATACGATGATATTGATCAAAGAACCGAGCCCCAAACCCACCAAACATATGCATAATCCCAAGCTCAAACTCACTATGTCCATAGCAAGCTGCTGGATCATACACCACATCCCCAGGCGTGTCATCACGGCCCGAGCCAACAATCCTACCCCAACCAGCATTCCCACTCCATAAATCCCCATGAATAACAACGGGTACAATCCCTTCTCCCTCACCACTGGAATTATACCCTAAATGGCTATCCCCAAGCAGCCGAGGCACAACCTTATGTGCCGTTTTCTCAACCGCCTCGCGCAGGTCAGCATCGGGTCCATTGCGCTCTTCAGATGTCGCCAGGATCGTAAGCAGTCGTTCGTTCGCATAGAACTCAGCCCAGCTATCACAGAATCTGTTTGGCTGCTTGGTATCACCACAGAAGGTCGGCACGGGGAATCCAAATCTGCGGCGGCCGGTGTTCGGGTCTGGAGGTGCTGGTGTGGTATGCAGCTTTCCGAGGCGGTGCGCGAGTGTGGTTTCCTCACCCGTGCTGCGGCTCATCCTTCCGCCAAGATCAAGGAACTCAGTTGCGAGGAAATGTGTTTTGGCTTTTGTCCCCGGCTCGTCGAGTGGTCCCCTAGCTAGGGCTTGCGGACAGAAACCTGGTACTGAGGCTGCAATTGCGTTGAGGGACTCGTATTCGCCTTGGAACATTTCTTCTGCAGCTTTGCCATTTGAGGAGGTTTTTACGAAGTAGCGTCGCTCCTCTATACCATTTTTGCCAGGAACCTGGGCGTGGATGGTGCCTGTGCTTGTGAAACCTGAGCCTAGGCCGGATGTGGAGAGACCGACTTTTGATTCGGATGGGAGTGAGAGGGCTTTAAGTATGGGTTCTGGTACTGGAGACATTATTATTTTCCGTTAGGGAGAGTCGACTAGTCTTAAATATATTTAAGAATGTAAGATGCAGAGATGTGAATAGACCAGGTTGCAAGGGCTATGACGTTTTTCTCCACATAAGAGCTCTTACCCACCAACGTACAATGCAGTAGACATATGCTCTGGACTATTTCGCCTGGTAAAAAGTAGGAAAGAAACACTTCTATAGATGTATCAAGTGTAAAAATATTTGAAGAGTTGAAGTGCTATATGGAATGCTCCTTTCTGCTAGTACAGCTTGAATACATATTACTCACAAATTGTACATCCTATCTTTCATTACGATATAAAAACTTGTGTAAGTGAAAAGAAAAAAAAAATCCATATTTTCCTACAGTACTCCAGTCCAGAACGTCCAATGACTCTCTCTAATCATGATAAAGGTATCGACTATGCGGGAGATAGTTTGTTCAACAAATGCAGCGCCGTCTTCGTCCGCTCCCTCGTGTCTAGCTCCGTGTCATCCTCGAGGCTAGCCAACCGTTCTGCAAACCCAAGAGAACGAAGTCTCACTGCCCGTTCCCGACAACCTTCATGATCACTCTGATCTTCTTCGTAGATGAGGTTGATCACAACCCAGACACAGTTCGATCGAATGTCTTTGTGAGAATGGTTGAAGTAATTTCCCAGAGACCGCAACAAGTCACGGTGGAATGCGACGATGCGCCGGTGGCGTGGGTGCCCAGCCGCCAAGTGGACGATGAGAGCGGCGGCTGCGTTGATGATCTCATTGGGGACTTGGAGGGACTGACTGCTGGAATCCCGGCGGTGAGGCAATTGGATGGTACGTGGTCGCAATGTATCTGCAATGGTATCGAGAAGATCATTTTGACCTAACTCTCTGAAAAGATATTCAATCATCTCAGGTGCACCCCGACCACAGATCATGTTGCGCAATAAGTCAAATGTCTGCTCCTGGACGGCAATATCGTCCTGTCGAGACTCTGTGGTTTGAGCCAGGGTCCCATGCAGAACGAGTTTTCGTCTACGCCTTGCGTCAGGAAGGAACATGTCCAAACTCATTTTGGAGGGAGGCATGGTATCAGTCATCTTGAGGTCCTCGTCCCACTCCGCTGCATCATCCATGGGGTTTAGAATATCGACCTGCTCGCCAGCTGAGTTAGATCGACCCATGGCAAACCCAGAACCTTGATCTGTCTCCTCTTCAATCGCCCGTCGAGCCACTGCGCGGACCGGATCCTGGGAGATGATCTCCATAATCCATTCGGAGCCCAATGTCTCGATAATGTTGATTCTGATGTCATTTGCAGTGTCATAAACCATGTGCTTGAGAGCCCAGAGCGATTCGATTTGTAATTTGGTGTTGGATGAATGAGCGTGTTCGCAAATTATGGGGATGATGTTGTGGGAAATAATTGCCTGAGAAAATGTTAACACCAAAGCTTATGGTCAGATATAGACGTCGACAAACTTCTTTCATGGGACTGAAGTCCAAGGCCAGGTTACAGATCGCAGCCGTTGCTGCAATTTGCACCTCGAGGTCAGAATGGCGAAGAAGGTCAAACAAAGGCTTAGCCACGCCGGCATCAATAAGACTAGTTCTTAGCACGCTCACAGATCTGGTCAGCATCCGAGCTGTACCACAAGCAGCCAGAATTGTGGGAATCGGGTTTCCATCCTCTGCAGTATTTCTGGGCATCGTAGAACCAGCCAATGCATCACTAGGCCTTGGCTTGAGGGCGTCAATTATGTAAGGGACTACGCCATGTTCACAAATCGCCTTGCGGTACTCATCCTTGAATGGGACGAGTGCTGCTAAGGCCTTGAGAATATTCTCTCTGTAACGCATTACATGGCAAAGCGTCGGAGAATAACCGGAAGGCCCTAGGCGGCACTCTTGTGAAAGAGACTCGTAGTCTCGGGCTGGGGCATCCTCTGCGTGCCACATCGGCCGGGATGTTTCCGTGATTGGGTTGTAAGTCTCCTTAAGAAGCTGTGAAAGTCGCTTAAGCGCATTGCCTTCTACTGCGTGTCTCTGCAGCTCCTGGTCGTCCATGACCAGGTTGGCTAATACGGCAGGCGCCTCTTCTTTCAAGCGTAGGGTCGATGAGAGCAGTCCATCATGAATAGCACCTTCTTCATCTGGTAGACGGACATTCTTATCTAGCATACGAATCAGGATGGGGATGAGCAAATAACTGAACATTGGGACGCGATGTTTCTTCGCCAGTCCCAACCGGAAGAGCGCCGTGACCAGACGAGCGGACATCAACCGCGTCATGCCATTCTCTGAGCGAAGAATGCAGAGCAGCCATGGAATAATCGCATTCTCGTCGTCTTCTGGGACAGGGGTCTCAGCCAGTGAAAAAGGTGTGGGATAAGAATGGCTGTGTCGGCGCTGTGAGCCTCCATGTCCCAGAGGTGGGAAATTGGCTGAACTGGAGGAAGATTTTGTGTGTGCTGGAGGAACTGGCGGCAGTAGCTGTTCCATGGGGTTGGCGCCAAGATGACGGGGTACTGCGGAGCCCGACAGATATGTGGATCCCCACGGTCCTTTCTTGATGTCTGACGGGGCGAACCCAGGGATTTGCTTTGGAAAAACCGTTACAATGCCAGGTGATGACAGGAAATGCTCCGCCCTCCATTTTGACTGTTCAATAATGACAGCAACTGCGCGCAGAATGGGTGCTAGTTGGGCGGATTCGGGGGCCGGAAGTGGCAGATCGTCCAATGCGCCTGGTTCTTGAAGGCGATCCTCGGCGCCAGGCAAAACAAATCCCTTGGCCACAACGAATGAGGCAATCTTGAGCGCCAAAGCGTCCAACACCCCGGATTCTGCTAGTGCCGTCTTGTGGGTTTCCTCCGTGCATAGCTTGCCGATCAGGGCGGCTGCCAGCTCGATCGTAGCCTGGGTTCGTAGGTTCTTGTACTCCTGCGATATTATGTGTCTAAGCGATGTGATATTTGCAGAAGCAAAAAAAAGATCCGCAAGCTGTGTGTCCCGAGGCCATTGTTCCTGGCTTTGCAACGGTATCCGGTCTGCGATCGTGTTCAGGAGCCGTAAAATGGGAAGACAGAATGAATCTGGGCAATCTGGGGACGAAAAGATTGAAAGTAAGATTTTGGGGATATTGCTGGCGAATAGTGGGGTGAGAAATGTTGGACCACCTGCTCAGTACAGTCAATGTCTGTCTTGGCATATTTAGACATGGATCTGGGTTTCACGTACCTTGTGCCAAGCTCCCAACAATTAAAGTTGCTTGAAGGCACACTTCATAATCTTCTGGGGATTTTGGCATAGACCGGCTTTGATGCCGTATGGATTCATTAAACTCGGCCGTTCCCGGCCATCTCGAAGTCAGCACCTGTGCCAAAGCTGGTATGATTCCCTCGACAATGTAGACCTCCTTGCGCTGGTCATGGCCAATCAGTTCATTCTTTAGAGTGCGCAAAGCTGTAATCTGCGAGGAAGCCGATTCGGCGCTCTGTAGCTGTAGCAGAATCGGCGGTGCGGCAGCTCGCGTCATCGTCTGGCGATCAGCCCCTCCCAGCGGGAGGTTCTTAGACGTTTTCACTTTGTTGAATTGGGATTAGTAGAGATATTAGAATAATATTGAGGAAATTATCTCCGTCAATGAGAGGATTGTGTAGACCGGGATGTACAACATGGAATAGATATATGATGGCAAACCGGAACTGTAGAGCCGGGCCTAGAGGTACTCCGCACCTCGGTTCTGCCGAAGCACACCGGATAGAAAAGTGGGTCCGGATTAATGAAAGAGCGACAGCCTTACTTATGTACTTCAGGACTCCTGCCCAGGTGGAGGGTCTCCATATTGTTTGATCTGAGCCATGGTTACAGAAATAGTATGGACTTTTACTCTAGAACTTGAACATGCCACATGCTTCTATACTAAGATCTACGGTCATAGAAAATGGGCAATTTTGAGTGTCACGGGGACATCTGGAGTCTAACGCCACACACAGCTTCCAAGATTGTTTGCCATGAAAAGAGGGGACCACAGTGCCCAGGTGTATTGAATATTAGTCAATCGTTGCTGAAGCACGGAGTACATGTGACCTATACATATAGTATTAAGGCCTTCATCATATAAGGTCTCATCTGTATGCTAGAACTGTACAGAGTACGGAGTAGCAAATGTATATTCCAAATATGGGTCTAGGAGATCAAATACTATTAGGGTAACTATTAGCCATTGCATATATGTACAACATATTCCATAGAACTCCAAACAATATTGAACTCTTGGCACTTTAACCTAATTCAGCTAGGGTACGGTAGTTACCCCCGCTTCCCGTGGGATCTAATGGAAGTGCCGGGAGTAAGTTGGAGTGTACGGAGTAGGAGTACGGAGTAGGAGTACGGAGTACAGAAATATTATACAGAATCTAGAAAAATCTTGGAAGGCCCGGGGAATAAAGAATATGTATTAGGTAATGTAGTGGGATCTCCAGGGCGAGTAGGGTTCTCCAGATACTGCACATGTGATCTCTCTATAGATTCATTATTCTCGGCTAGTCACATTACATGTATATTATAATTATTCCCCCTTGAAGGAAATACTATGTAGAGTGATATATAACATTTATGACCCGAACAGACATGTACATTAAAGATATCACTCTTCAAGTTCAACTACTCCATACATAGTAATTAACTTAATCATAAATTATAAATTACAGAAATCAAGGAATAAAAAACCTACCATACTGTAACGGTACAGTCACCGGAAGCAACCAGCCATAAGATGAATGTAATTACCTCACCCCCAACGAACAAGATTTTCAACCTACGGTTTTGCCCCTTTCTATCCTGTCAAAGGTGGGATTATTATTCCCAGACCTCCCCCACTCTTGTCTTTCCTTTTATAACCCTTGCATTCCTTTTGATTTCCTAAGACCTTCAAGCCTCTGAAGGATGAGGCCGGCCGTGCACCCACGCCATCCACAGCGCGCCCTAACTGTGCGCCCACGTGGTCTCACCTTGCACTGTGAATGCTCAGATTCCTAGCATTCCTTAATAACCTAATACCAAAAACATGTTGGCGTCTTCACCCTCGCCTTCAACGGCTGCGTTGCGCTCCCCGCTACCTTCAACTTCGGGGTCGCATTCCCACTATGAGCCTACTGGCGCTCCACAATTCAATAGTCCTCGATCCTCGCGTCTGGCCATTGACGAACTTCGTTCAGCCTTGAATCGACATACTGTCGATCCCTCTCCTGAAACTTCAGGGGATCTGCAACGCAGGCGCCTATCTACATCCGACACCCTAAAGACCCCGGTGAACACTTCGGCCTTGGCTTCAATACCCCAATCAAGCACTTCTTCCGCCACTGCAACTACCCCCGCGACCGCCACATCTACAAATCCACCCCCAACTTCCTCCCCCGCCCCCTCGATGCCCGCCCCTACCCCGGGTTCCAACAAGCGCAACAGCCAACGCGACCATCACTCGGATGCGACGCCGGCGGACTATGATGGCGAAGATTTGGAGAGATCGCAGTCCAAGCGCCTGCGACCTTCCAAACCAGATGTCAAGATGTTGCCCACGCAATATGAACTGGCTGACCCCCGTGACATGGTCGTGTTGATCTCCAGCATGCTCATGGAGCTGATCCGATTCAACGACAAAATTCCACTACACCAGGGTCGTCTAACTCGCTTTCACTCGCGCTCTCCACCCCGAATCTCCGTTCAAGATTACCTTCAGCGATTGACGACCCACGCTACTCTCTCACCCCCTATCCTCCTCAGCATGGTCTACTATATCGATCGACTCTGCGCGCTGTACCCCGCCTTCACCGTTTCCAGCCTGACCATCCATCGATTCCTGATCACCAGCGCCACAGTCGCTAGCAAGGGACTCAGCGACAGCTTCTGGACCAACAAGACATATGCTCGAGTGGGTGGAATCGGAATGACGGAATTAGCCATGCTCGAACTAGATTTCTTGTTCCGAGTCGAATGGCGCATTGTTCCACAGCCGGAAGTGCTGGTGGACTATTATCAGAGCCTTGTCGATCGATGCGACGGGTTTGAAATTGAAGGCATCTGTCAAAATGGCAGTGCTAAAGCCGGAGTAACCGGAATTGCTCCAGCAGCCGGTCCTGTTTCAGCATAAGGGACCGATACGCCCTAATTACGGCGCTGATGCGAAATGCACAAATTACGTTCTGCCCTGGGCCACTCGGGCCGGTCTCGAGTCAGCTATGGATGAGTGGATTCTTCCTGTCACCCGTCGAGTCACGGTGTGATTTAATACATACCACTTGCATTAGGGGGGTTGGTTCAGATCTCGATGCACTGCTTTTGATCTATTGAGGAGCACGGGTATCAGGCATGGCGCTTTAGAACAGGGATCTATCTCAGCATATACCAAAAAGGTCGATGGGCGATACCTTGTTCCCACTTTCCAGCGATTTTTTTTTTCACAGGGCGGCGTTTGATGTCTCAGGGGGGGTGATATGATTAAATCACCTATCTTAACTGTTTTAGAATACAAAACTCAAATATCCACTCATAATCTAACTTGTAGATCTTCCGTGTTTCATATGTATGTTGTAGGCCTCATGTATCTTTTGCACCTGTACGGAGTATAGAGCTAGGTGCAGACTACCCACCACTTCCGCTACCTTGCTTTCCTAAGGTATATCAATGCATCAAATGGTATAGAAAAGACCACCGAAATGAAATCATAAGGCTTATGGCCGACTATTCTTGTGTTCACTAAGGGAGACCTTGAAGAATCCGACAGATTAAACCCAAAATGGTCTAGTGATATATAAAGTTTGCACTGTTTGCTCTCAACTTTGTATAGCTTTCTTTTCTTCAACCTTAGAAGTCTTCGAATACTTCGTTGAATTGTTGAAGTTGGCGCAATTGAGATTTAACTATAATTTCAAGGCATTGTAACTTACTTTAGACTATGCCCATTGCTACATGGTCAACCTATCTCGACACATTTACTCAACTTTTTCAACCCGCGCCTGACTGCGTCATTTGAGATAGCTAGAATGGATGTCGAAAAGACAATCAGAGGCCTAAATCCCCTTGTTGGACAAGTGGTCCCTATTCGAACAGTCCAAGAGACAAGGCCTACAGAAGAGTTCGGTATGACCTACATCTCACTCTTGCGACTACATAATTAACCACCAATATAGGCGATGCCTTCGTCGCAGAAGTCAATGTCAAGTCTGCATCTAAAGTGATCAAGTAAGCTATAGGCTCGCATGCTTCTTTTGAGCGCCAAAATTAATTCCTCAAGGGCTCTCGACGCGGCTTTCCCCAAAGATCCTTCCCTTCCGCTATCCCACCTCCGCCGCTTCGCCAAAAGAGAACTACTCCCATCCCCACTCAGGGCAGCGATCGAAAGCCAGAGCGCTCCTCCAGCGGCTCCGGCACAAACTATCTTCGTCCTTATATCACCACCGTTGCCTGATCTCACCACACTCAAGGCTCTACTTGCTCCATTTGCGCCAGACACGGCACCGGCCACAAACGATCCTCCGACTACAAATGAAAAGCCGGAAGTTTCACAATCCGATCTCCCGGCTCCTACTATTCAACTTCACCCTGTCACAATTCCTCTTTGCCCTCCCTTCAACGCAACTCAAGCCGAAACATGGACCAAGACCCTTTGGCCAGTCGTATTCAATCCAGCTGCGCCCCGCTCAACTGTCGCGCCGCCACCTCAAACCCTCAAACGCACACAGGAATCCATTGAACCGCGGGCAGGGTACTACCTATCCCTAGCGCGCAAAGTAGCAGAGGAAGCAGAAAAATCTGGGCTAGGCCGCGGTGTAGGCGCAGTGATAGTCGACCCTGCCATTGAAGAAGAAATAACCGAGGCAGCCTATGAGGCCGGATACGACACTACAGCAGAATGGGATGAAGCAGTCCTCGCAGTTGCCGGCGATGCGCGGTACTCCCGCTCCGAGGCGGGTGCGCCATCCCAGGCCCAGCTGCACGCAGGAGTAGCCCCGAACCCAGCGAGCAAGACATACACCGCGGATGTCGAGGGAGGGCCTGAGTTGCACGCGCTGATGCGTGCTGTTGAGTTGATTGCTCGCTGGCGCCGAGAACACGATCGTCTTGATGACCCTGCATCAACGACTACCACCGGTTCATCGAAACCAGAACTAGAACAGTCAGAGCTGAGCGCCTTGGAATCATACTTCTTATACCGCCACCGTCCCGATACATCCAACATCTCCAACTCATCTCAACCTCCGTCCTCTCCATTGAAAAGGAAACACCAAGACCCTAACCCTGAATCCGAATTAACTACCGACCCCTCTACAGACCCTTCCCAATCTCTCGACCGTCCGCCTCTCCCAGCTCCTCCCCCGTCTACCGTACTTACGGATTCTTCTACGGGTATAACGCCCGCAGCCCCGCGCATTCGCACTCGCTCGCAGGGTGGCTACCTCTGCACAGACTTGGACGTCTACCTTTCCCATGAGCCGTGTCTGTGCTGCTCTATGGGCATGCTTCTCTCCCGGTTCCGGTCTGTCATCTTCCCCAGACGTGGGAGGTTGGCGAGTGGTGGCCTGTCTTCTGAGCCGGCTGTTGGTCCTGTGGCCAATGAGGCTGACCGGGCTGTAGAATCCTCTACGGTCGATGGACAAGACGAGAGGGGTTACTATGGGCTGCATTGGAGGAAGGAATTGAATTGGAGAGCTCTTGGCTTTGAGTTTGTGGAGGATGGGGATGAAGTGAAGAGCGCTGGAATGCCTGTCTTCCATGCTTAATTGCATATATTACTGTAATAACCTATGTTGTAGATGCTACATAAAATCAGACTACGTGTTACATTGAACTCTTTGAGATAAACTTCCTTTGAAATTTTTTTTTTGGGTAAAAACAGGCTTTTTGACATACCACACCTGGTATTCTGCCACAATTCAGATATCCCGACCTGTAGCTTCCACATTCCTCCACTGTGGCACCATTAACCTCCCCCACCTCCTCCGACAGCAAGAAACAACCCCAGCCCTCTTCAACACCCGCCTTCTATGCAAACAAAGCAATCAAGATCAAGATAAGGAAATTCGTGACTTCGTCACAGGATCTCCTGTATCCTCGCCAGATGTTCAATGACATGGCAAAGTACATGAAAAAAAAAAGAATTTGGTAACGAACAGATCATGGAGACCCATTCTTTTCGGCCTAGTCGTTTGCGACAGGGCCAAGATGGAGTTCAAGGATGTATCCATGAGAAAACGGAGAGGGGTATAAACCGAGGTCGGCATCCCATAAGATACAGCCCAGATGTAGACGAAATAAACAATTGGCTCAAAGACAATGGGCTGTGGAGTAGACAATGACTTGGGTTCGTTACATTGAAAGAAAAGAGCAAGGAAGAAGGGTCAAAACGGAGTCCAGGTAAATGCTTTTGTGAAGCAAAAGTGAGATATGGTGAATGTGCCCTGAAGGAGAGGTAGGTAAGCAGGGACCGCCGTGCCCTAGGTTGCGCTCCTCTCCCCAGTGGCTTCATTGTAAACGGTATTTCATGTGCAGAGGCGAGCTGTAAACACAAAAATAGGACGAGCTCGCCAAGATTGATGGATGTTATGTATGACCTGTCGATACAGGCGGCATATAATCCTCTGAAGTGAGGATCAAAATGCATGACTTTGTCGAAGACACAAAACTCGATGTGTCGCAGGATGTGATGATTATGATGCTTTTTCAACGCGTCGTTGAACAACGGACGCCCAGCCTAATGGCGAAGCTTTTGGGTGAGAAAGCTCAATCCATTCGCTGGTAGAACAATAGATAGGCAACTTTGTTGTCGCGAGAACCATAGCGGCCTAGGGGGGTTCGGACCCCGGAGGGAGCGGCGGGTGGTGGAGTGACTCCGTTCACAGATTTTTTGCTTGCATGTCCGTTGGCACCATTGCCATTGACCTGGCTCCAGCCCTTGTCGCTGTCAGCCAGATCCATGTCATCCTGATCGATATGGTCGAAAATATTGCCGTTCGGGATCTTGCCGTGCTTGTGCTGCTCAAGAGCGGCAGCGAGAACCTTAGGGTCCTCCTCGCCACCAGCTTCTGCCACTTCCTCACTGCGAACGCGACGGATTGCGGTGTCATCCATGCGGATCCATTCCAAGCCTTCCTGTCGCCGAACATCGACCGTGTAGTGGCCGCCGCTGGCATTCTTACCGTGATGGTAAATCACACCCATAAGGCGATATTTGGGTGGCCCTCCATGGGCTGCCATGGCGTTACGCCGATGAGCTGGGAAAACCTCCCGTGGAAGCTCCAAGTCTAGTGGGTATCCAACCTTCTTCCAGATCTTCTGAGTAGCGCCTGTAACGCTGTCATACTGGAAGCGCTTGAGATGAAGAATGAGGACAGGAGGTAAGGTCTCAATGAATATTTGCTTGGTTGCGGTGATGTTTGGTCCGCGCGATGAGTTGAAATCACCCTGAATGCTTTCTGGCTTTGTCATTCCCTTGAGCGCATCGAGAATATTGTGAACGTCATGCGATCCAATGTCGAGTTGCAGAGGTTGATAAGGTTCCAGCGTAACAGAAGTCTTATTGCCAGGAACCTTGAATTCTGACCGAAGCTTGCCCCCAAAGATTCTGGTGACCGGAGACTCGGCAGCAAGGGAGCCAGACAACTGGGTGATCGCTGCTTTTTGCTTGTGGCCAACTTCCAACCAGCCATCGACTGAAGAGTCGCCTCCTTCCTTCGCTGCGGTATGCGCTTCAGCACGAGCGCACTCCTCATGCATCTCCTCGAGGAGGAAGCCTAAAAATTCTTGGGCGTCCTGCTGATGTCCGCGCCGCATGTCCCTAAACCGCGGCAGCTGTCGAACCATCTCATAAACAAATTCAGGGACGAAAGAGTCGCCATATTGCTCAAGCTCGTTTGGCTTCAATCTGAGACGAAGTTGTTCTTCGGAAGTGGCCGCGTCAATAACACGGAATTCTTTCATAAACATGATCATCGCATCGATCAAAGGAAGATCACTGTGGAAGGTGTGCGCAGCACGTCGGCCAAGATGATCAAGGAATTGGTAGAACGGGGTACAAGAAACAAGAATTTGCAACACAGAGTTCATGTAGCACATGTTTCCGGTGTTGACCAGTCCTCGAGGTTCAAGGAAGGCGATCTTATCGCTGTATTGAGTAACATCTTCTCCGAGCTTGCTCAGGACATCTGCGAGAGATTTGTTCTTCTGAGTTGCCAATCCGTGCGGCTCAGCCAAAGCGGCGGCGGCGGCAGCGGTTGCTGCGCGCGCGGACTCCTTTGAGCGGACTAAGTCGGCCCAAGACTTGGGTGCAGCTGGCATAGGCGAGCTTGTCTTGGTTTCAGTGGAAGGTACTTTTTCCGATTCTACCACTGGGGCAGGTGTAGCAGGTGCAGTCGATTTAGGAGTTCCAGATGCGACGCTGCCATCTTTGGCTTGGCGACGTGGGGTAGATGGCACATTGGGTACCACTGGAACAACCGGAGCGGGCTTTGAGCTTTTCGAGGGTGCTTGTGATTTCGCAACTGACGAAGGAGTGGTAGGCTGGGTGGATTCTGTATCCGACTGTTGGAATGCGGTTGTGGTTGGGGTTTGAGGTTCCGAAGGTTCTTGGGTAGATGAACAGGATGGCTGAGCCTCTTCGTTTTCATCTCCTTCGAATACCATGTGCGTGTCTTTAGTGGGAAGCTCAACTGATGATTGCATGACACGGCCCTTGCGACGTCTGCGCGGGATTCTAGCAGGGAAAGGCTGCTCTGGAACTGAGAGCCAAGGGATCTAGACTAAGAGTTAGGATATATTCAAGTTTAATTCGCGATGAGAGTGAACACTTACAGGTGGGGCGAAAGTGGGCTTCGGCGGCAGGCTTGGCTGTGGCTCCCATCGTGGTGGCGGAGAAGCGATGGGATATCCTTGGACCGAGTGTGGTAGAACACCAGGGTATTCTTGCATTTCCGGCTGAATGGGCTGAATCGATGGATGCATGACAGATGGAGACATTATCGGCTGTAGTGGAGTCGGAGTTCGTTGATGCATGGGCATCGAATGAGGGATATGCGTGGGCGCCATGACAGGTTGCGAGTGAGGATAAGAAGATACAATCATCGGTCCATAGGGCGCCTGGTATGGACGTGGAGGAGCCTGGATATGTCCATATGGTGGATACCAGTAAGGGTATTGCTGCGATGAGTATGGTTGATGAGGCATGTGGCCATTCATGTGAGGAGGATATCCCATGTACTGTGGTGATCGCATGTGGGGAGGCGCAGCGTTGTAAGAGAAATCTTGCTGGCGCCTGGAAGGAGGCATGGGCAGCTGCCCATGTGGCATAGAAGGGAGGTGGTGGTTCATATTGAGTTGGCTAGAAAAAGAAGTTGTCTTGACGTTCGGTCACGCGTTGCCTCAAATGAGTGCCATGCGCGATAGCAGTCAAGAAGAAGAAAAAATCTGGAACTGCTGGCGCATTTAGGCAGCCATCGTGGCCTCAGTGAGAGGTGTTGGATATGTTGGAGAGTGGGAACGGAGGATGAACTGAGTCAAAAGAGCTGTTGGGTGCTGGGATTGGTTGAAGGAGACTGGCAAACCAGATCGGAGTGAGGAAACAAGAGAAAGAAGCAAATCGCTGTACAAGTAACTCCCTAGGCGAAGAGAGTCGACAAGTGGGGGATGAGAAGCGAGTGAGCAGAAGAAAAGAAAAAAAAGAAATAAGAGACGAGGATTAGGAGGCCTCGATTCACCGTCAAACGAATGAAGCTGAAGGGGACCGAGACCGAATTGGGTGTCGGGACTTGCCCGTTCACGTGACATTACGATTTGTAACCGGAGAGGGGCGAAATTGCACCTTCACGACATCAACTGGCACCCTGAGGGCCGTCCCTCGATCCTCACCACTATTCTTACATGGCCTTTAAGGCCATTCATTCTCTTCTTCCTGTTTGGCTTGTTCAGCATCTGGTGGATCACCCGATCTACTGCGCGCTAGCTGATTGACGTCTTATCAGTTGTTGACTTTATCCAGTCCCCATAGAACCCCTCATCTTTTGTTTAGCCAACTGGCTCGTTTCGTCTCTCTGCCTTGTTTGGTTTATCGGGGTTTCCCTGTTTAAGGACCAGTACTGCAGAGATATGTCATCCAATGCAGGACAGAACCCGCCCCCTTCTAAAGCGGTTAACATTCCGAATACAGCCTCGTCTACTCCATTTCACTCAGCAGCTCCAGCGGACAACGGCTCTCAAAGGCGCATAGGAGGCCCTGGAAGTTCTCGGCCAGGGGTACCATCGAAAACTTCAGCTACCCCAAGGAATAATCAAGCTCGGAAGAGTCAGCATAACCGTCAAAGAAAACCTCGGTTATTAGATGATGACGAGTACAACGAATCGGTGGGTTCACAGGTTTATCTTCCTCAAGAGTTACCTGCTGACCCTGGAGTCATTATATAGGCCGCCATGAAATCCACCACCAGCCGCAAAGGACAGACGTCCATCACTCACTTGATGAACTTTTCACTTCCGCCTCGCCCGCAATACCAAGCACCTCCTCGCAACATCCGACGTTATACATCCTGGGGGGCGGGTGCAGTAGACAAATCGCGTTATGTTCATGCGAATTACCGGTTTATTGTGATGCCAAATCAAAATTTCCATGCTCAGGCAGCCAATGCGGATGTTCATCTCGATTGGGCCTCGGTCCTCCAAGTACTGGTGTCTGCTCAGACACAGGCTGCCAGTTGTCCAATTTGTCTTTCTACCCCGGTTGCACCCCGGATGG